TACCCATCAGCAAACACTGCTGGGGTTTTTTTATTCCATTTAAAGCTCCAGACTGTTTTTTTTCTGTCCATAACCAAAGCCATGAGTATTTACAACAGACTTTTCCTACTTAGGCAAAAAAGTAAAGGGGAGAGGGACCCCAGACCTCAGTATAGGTCAGAGGGTGGAGACTTGATGATCTTGGAGGTCTTTTCCAACCTTAATGAATCCCTGGTTCTATAGGATCTTTTTACAAAATTCCCATTAGCAGCATGAAAGCACAAACTTGACTGAGGTGAAGGCAAGGCTGGAAGAGGAGAGGAAGGAATAAGTCATAGAATCATAGAATCATAGAATAGGTAGGGTTGGAAGAGACCTCCAAGATCATCAAGTCCAACCCCTGATCCAACTCCAATTACTATATCATGGCACTAAGGGCCACATCCAATCTCTTTTTAAAAACCTCCAGGGATGGTGAATCCACCACCTCTCTGGGTAGGCCATTCCAAAGTCTTTGCAAGATCTCAGAAAATTTCCCTTAGAAGTAGAACAGTCTGAAGGAAGCATTAATTTGGGGGAGGAAGAGTTCTGATTTCTTCAGGTTTTTTTATGCTGGCTAAATATGTCGAAACCAGAGTATTCCCTTGTCTTCCTTCTCCTCTGACCCCCTCTGTACCAGGCTAGATCTCTAAATAAGCATTTAGCTATTAGCTGCCCAGGGTTCAGCAACCAGCTTTGGAAATGCTACATTATCTCTTTTTTTAAATCTGTCTCTGAATGTTCAATTCCAGTGATTTGAGGCCAACAAGAGGAGCTGGATCTCCCGAGCATGTCACAGCTCAGCCTTTTATTATAGTGAAATGCTCTGTATTCCTTCAGCAGCCAGAGCTGGCAAAGCACATCTCGTTGTTTACTGAGGACTTTGATATCCTTCACTGCAGAGCACTGTGGTTATTGCCATCACTGGATCCATGCCCTGTGGAGCTGAGCTGGGTTGGAGAGGGGCACGTTTGGGAATGGGATCCAAGGAACCACTTAACAGAGGCAGGTCTGAAAAAAACCCTCTGGGCAGTGGAAATCTTGCTGATGATGGGCACAATATCTGTGACGTGGCTTCTTGCTTTCCCTGCTCCTCTTGCATCTCTGGTGCCCAGTGACAGGACCTGGAGCTGTGCCAGGGCAGGGTCAGGTTGGATCTCAGGGAAAGGTTCTTCCCCCAGAGGCTGGTTGGGCACTGCCCAGGCTCCCCAGGGCAGTGGGCACAGCCCCAAGGCTGCCAGAGCTCCAGGAGGGTTTGGATGATGCTCTGGGGCACAGGGTGTGACTCATGGGGATGGTCCTCTACAGGGCCAGGAGTTGGACTCAATGATCCTTGTGGGTCCCTTCCCACTCCGCATATCCTGGGATTCTGCGATCGTTCAAAAGCTCTTTGCACGCTCTGAACTGACCTATATTTTTAAGGGAAAAAAAAGCATTATGTGTGAGTGTCAGCCTCTGCTGTGTTTTCTGTCACTCCTGTTGTGCCCCTGCAGGTCATGTCCCGCTGTGTCACTTTGAGCAGGTCGATGTGACACAGCCCAGCCCTGTGTGGCAGGGGCAGCGAGGCAGAGCCGCTTACCCCAAACAAGGGATCCCTCCTGAGGGACACCCAGTCAATAGCACATCCCTGTGGGATGGTTCCTTAGCAGATTGGATAATGGTGCCCCTCAGCCTGCAGTGCCTGCAGCCTCTGGGTTCGCAGCTGGGAAATGCATCCCTGCATCCCGAGAGGAGACGGGAGACGCAGGCGGCACTAATGGCACTGCCAGGCTGCTGTTTGCAGGGACAGGAGGGAAGCAATTCCAGCCTTCCCACGGATGGGAAGTGCTGCTCACCTCCCTTTCTTCTAGGCAAGGAAGAAAACTTTGTTAAAATCTCCTGTAGTGTGAAGCAAACGCACTTAATCAGTCAGGAATACACCAAGTGCTCTGCAACGTGCTGCAGCAATAAAGCCAAGGGAGGTAACGCGGGAAAATCGGGATGTAAGGCAGGACAGAAATAGGTAAGACAAGCTCAGATGACCTCAGTGCACCCCCCTGGGGAGGCTGGGGGATGGCTGGGCATCCAGAGCTGTCCTGGTGTGGCCATGAGGATTTGCTCCAGCTGAGGACCAGCCCCGTGAGCGTTGATGCAGCTCAGACCCCACAGTGACACCCCGCAGGATGAGCCCCCTGCGCTGCCAGAGGGGCTGGAGAGCAGGAAAAACCATGGAAAACTGCAAAGTGCTGTTCCTGTCACACAAAAAGCGTCCTCCTGAAAATGCAGGCGTGAAAGGAAGGCTGAGAGGGAGCTTTGCTGCTTCCCTGAGCCTTCAGTGACACCTACAGACAGTCACACACAGCCCAGCATGGCCCCGAGCCCTGCCTGGCTCCTCACCCTCCCAGGGATGTGCAGGAAGGGGCTCCAGGTGCACCAGGAGAGGTTTAGGTTGGATATTAGGAAAAATTCTGTAGTGGAAGGGTTGTCCAGCCCTGGCACAGCTGCCCAGGGCAGGGGTGGAGTCCCCAACCCTGGACAGTGGTGGAATCCCCATCCCTGGAGGGATTCAGAGCATCTGATGTGTCATTTGGGGACGTGGGTTAGTGGTGGCCTTGGCAGTGCTGGGGGAATGGTTGGACTTGATGATCTTAGAAGGTTTTCCAACCTAAATAATTTCATGATTCCATGAAACCTGTGGGCTGATTTTTGGAGGAGCCAGGCACTGAGTTCTTACATCTGCAGGAGCTCTGCTGAGCTGCTCTGGCCTTTAGCAAACACCCATTTCTTTATATTCTTTATGTCTATATAGAATATAAATTCTAGAATTCTGTTATAACTCTATAATTCTAAATAAATATTCTAACCATATTCTAGAATATAAGTATATTCTAGAATTGTATAGAATTCCACAATACAGAATATATACCAGAATTCCATTTGAAAATATATTCTGTATTCTACAATCCTATACAATTATATTATATATTCTATTCCATATATTTATATTCTTCATTCTTTACATGTTTATAAAATAGATGAACTTCTGATGCTGAGAGGAATTTCAGTGAGTGATTCCATGCCTGAGCCCCACTGCTGGTGTGGTTATTCCTGTAGCATCCTGAGCTTGAGATGCTCCAGGTCTTCCTGAATTTCAGTTGTAGCAACACCAAGTGACTGGAAAATCCTGATACATCAGTTATACAAAACTAATGCCATAAATCTAAGCAATAATAAGCATTGTTTTAGTCATGTGCACTTATATTGCTCATGCCTAAGAATTTTTAAATGTATTAATCATTTAATTGTATTAATTAGTTAAGCCTCATAATACCTACTGTGCTTGTGTTAAGAGTTAGAACAACCAAAATATAGATAAATTAAATTTCTCCAAGATAACACAGCCAAGTCCCCGAGGACTTGATCTGAAATCCATACAGACAGAGATTAAATCTTTTTCACCACCTCCTGTACACTTTTGATAAGGTCTTCAAAAATCCAGGAACAGCTTCACATCCCCTGGATTTCAGGGAGTAGTTCTGTCCAGTCCATATCTTTGTTGCTGTATCTTTATTATTTTAGCAGAGGCTTAAGCAGTTGGGCAATAGTCTCTGGAAGAAGTAGTTAAGATTTTGGTGTCATATCCCAGAGATTGAATAATGCTGGTATTATTTTAGCGTGACAGTTGTGCAGAATAGATTTTTGGAATAAGCAAAAATATCTATCTCTATATGATTTTCAGACTTTTGGTCTCATTGTTAAGCAATATTTTGTCTCCTTTTCATTTCCTCTGAGGCCCTGTAGAAAAAAATTACTGCGTTTTTGTCAACAGAAATGAAAGAGGAATGTCAGCTTTGGAGGCAGAGGGAATTCACGGGCACAGACGAGGAGCTGGAGTCTGCATAATGTGTCATGGCTCATCCTTCTGTGCCACCATTTTGCTCCTGCTGCAGGACTCAAGTGAAAAATAGACCATTAAACCAGTGGTAAAGGATCTGTGTGAACTCCAGCTGGGAACAAGGGATCAGTCTGGAAGCTGAGGTGGAGCTGCTGACTGTATTTAACAGGCAGAACTTGCTGCATCACAGATCCCTGGAGGTTTGGGGGCTTCCCTTTGGAAGTGTCATGTTTAGGGCAGTGCCCTTTTTTCTGCTTCATCTCCCTAAAATAATTCCTCAGTTCTAGTCCAACAGGGCAGTGACATCTGGAGTCACCACCCCCAGAGCCACATCCCACCCCAAAACCCCTCTCTGACATCACCACAGCACTTGGCTTGTTGGGGCAGGGGTTTGGTGTCCGTGGTGTCAAAGGTTTGGTTGGTATCTCTCATTATTTATATTTATTCTTTCTGGGGACTCTCCTGGCACAAAGAAAACAGCCTGGCTTTGAAATGTCAAACCACAGATACTGTGGCCAGTGTTCTACACCATCACTGAGTTTGCAATAAAAATGAGGTACAACAGTAACCTCAGCCAATTCTTTCCCTTTCCAGGTGTGAGCAGATATCACCCATGTTCTTAATATCCCCTTTTTCATTCTAGTTTTGGAGATTTTACACTGAGAAGGTTTTCTTGAGGCAACATTTATTACAGGAACGACAGAATAGTTTTTTATAACCGTGGTGAACAATGTGTGACTGTGAAACATCTCCTTGAAGTAAGAAGATTCAAAGAAGACAATCTCTGACTTCTGAGCTTTCTCAAAAATTTTAACCAAGCCTTTCAGATCTGCTGCACTCTTTCCCAGCCCTTTCTTTTCTCCTTCTTCATCAGGATGGTGGCTGGAAGAGGATTTTGGAGGGTTTATTAACAGTGTTTCAATCCAACAACTGGAGAAAGGTGTTGGAGGATAAAAGCAAAGATGGGACAGTTCACTTGTTGCATTGAGGACCTTCCTAAGTGATCACTGCAGTTGTGGGAGACTGCTTAGGATCTCTCTCAGCTCTACATGTTCCTCAGGAGAACCAGATTAATGCTCTTTTTCCCCCCTTTCTTTGTTGTTTGTAGATCCAACCCGGGTCATGGTGTCACCTTTCAGCATGGATGTCACGGTTGGGGAGAGCATCGTCCTGCCCTGCCAGGTCTCTCATGACCACTCCCTGGATATCATGTTCACCTGGTCATTCAATGGGCACCTGATAGACTTTGAGAAGGATGGGGATCACTTTGAAAGAGTGGGAGGGGTAAGTATTAACTCTAAAGCAATCCCCTCACTGTACTAAAAGCAGGTAACAATAGAAAAGGGCTGCTAAGAGAAGGAATGGACTTGGCTAAGTCAGTCCTGGAGGGATTTAAAAACCATGTGGATGGTTTAGTGGTGGCCCTGGCAGTGCTGGATTAATGATTGGACTCAATGATCCTAAAGGGCTTTTCCACCCTAAATGATTCCATGTTTCTGTGTTGTCTTCTGTTCACAGGCTGAGATGAATATTGCCAGTTTATTGGTTCATTAGAGCTGGTGCAGAGTTGTTATGGTTTCCTTCGTGGCATGACAGATCTGCTCAAATGAACAGTGGGAGGGATGTCAGGAGACCTGAAATATGTTTTCTCATTGCAAAAAACTGCCTCCTCCTTCAAGGAAGAAATCCATAATAGATTTTATCTGTCTGAAACAGTAAAATAAATGTAAACTGTAACCATTGTAGAACTTTGTATTTATAGAGAAAATAGCAGGAAATCAGACAATATCCTCAAAAATGCTCAGGCAGGGTTTGTTGCCATGTTTATCTGTCTCTGTCTGTGTCCTCCTCTTGTGATCACATGCTTAGAATAACTATTTTTCCTCTACACAAAATAACCTGCAGAGGATTGCAAACATCCCCCACCCCTGGAGGTGACATTTCTTCTCAGTCTTATCTGTGCAGGTTTCCTGGCAATGCCACCTTGGTATCTTTGGGTTGTTTGGTTGATTTTTTTTTTTGTTTCTGGGAAACCCAGTCAGTACCCACTGACAGTGTAAACTTCTGCAGTGCCCAGAGAATTGTTTATTTGAAGGTTGAAAAGTTCACTTTTGAAGGGCAGGTTGTTAAGTTAAAATAAAACTACTTTTCTGGTAGTTTTAGATTTCCTGAAGATGTCGAGGCATAAATTTTGGGGATTGCAGAAGGCCAGTGCTCAAAGAGATACCTCAGGCTGCCATCTGTTAGAGGGGGGCTTCACACAAGGAGGTGGCACATCTGTCAGACCTGCCCCAGCTTCTCATGCCAGTTTTATGACTCAAAATAACTCCCAAATAATTTTTAGTAAGAAAAGCAGTGATTTTACAGAGCATGTCTGAAAGCTTTGCTTTGTAACCATAACATTTTCCTTTGCAGTTCAGAGTTCTTCTAATTTACCCTGTTTAGGCAGGGCTTGGGTTGTTTAAGTTCTAACTTATCCTTCCTCATGATTTTTTTTTTCACTTTTATTGGGTGAAAAGAGCTCTAAAAATGAGGGAAAAAATGCAAAATTTTCATCAAGGGTTTTTCCTGTGTCTCTAAAGGAGGCTCAGCAGAGCTGTGGACTCTGCTGAGTCTCAGGCAGAGTGACAGTCCATATTTACATTTTTCAGGGGTGCAATTTAATGCTGAAAGGAAAAGGAAACACAATTTCCAAGCCTTAAAAGATGCCCTTACAGATTGATGCCCAGGGTGCACATCAGCAGCCATGGCTTTTTGGGGTGACTGCACCTGCTTGGCCTGCAAAGCTAAAATTACAAACTTGATTAATATCTCTCAGTCAAAAAGCCACAATCACAAGGTTACCCTGAGATTTCCAATGGACCCAATGCTTTGTGTCTGGAGAAAAATTTAGAGAGTGTTTTCAGCTTCTGATACACAGAGAAACCTAATTAGTTCTATTCAATAGTTAATCAGACATGCACTTGGCGTTTGGAAAACAAATTACTGCTGTTAGGTGATGCAAGATTTCCTGGGAGAGCGCTGTTCTCATGATCTTTAGCACAAAAACACGGGGCAATCAGGATTCTGGCTGCCAGACAAAGCCAGGAAATTATGGCAGATGACTTAGAATTCGGGCTGGGTTTCACTTGTGGAAGGAAGGGAGACACAACTTGGGCATCTGAACACCAGGGAGGGTGTAAATGGGATATCCAGGGAGGTGTGAACCTGCCCCACATCAGCTTTGTCACGTTGTTTTAATGATCACAGAATCCCAGGATATGCTGAGTGGGAAGGGAAGCACAAGGATCATTGAGTCCAACTCCTGACCCTGTAGAGGACCATCCCCAAGAGTCTCATCCTGTGCCTCAGAGGATCATCCAAACCCTCCTGGAGCTCTGGCAGCCTTGGGGCTGTGCCCACTGCCCTGGGGAGCCTGGGCAGTGCCCAACCAGCCTCTGGGGGAAGAACCTTTCCCTGAGATCCAACCTGACCCTGCCCTGACACAGCTCCAGCCGTTCCCTGGCTGCTGTCCCTGGTCCTCCCAGAGCAGAGCTCAGTCCCTGCCCCTCCTCTGCCCCTTACAAGGCAGTTTTAGACTACAACCAGTCTACAACCAGTTACTAAGGGAAAGTGTTTCCCAGACCCCAGCCCTGCTCCCCTGCCCCGGGGAGGAGCCAGAACTTCAGAAACACTCCCGCTCTCCCCTTCAAGGCAGACACATCCCTTTAATAGGCCAAGCTTGCATTACTAATGTTTTCATCAGCCAGAGCAAAGTAAATCCATTAGTCACAGTGTCCTTCATGTGATAATGATGTTTAGCGCTCATTAAAAAGTAATTGTAACCACTTTTCCCTACTTTATCAGCAGGATTCAGCTGGTGATTTGATGATCAGGAGCATCCAGCTGAAGCACGCGGGGAAATACGTCTGCATGGTGCAAACAAGTGTGGACAAGCTCTCGGCTGCTGCAGACCTGATTGTAAGAGGTATTTGAATTTTGTTACTGTTGTTGGTGTTGTTGTTGTTGTAGAATTTCTTTTTTTTTTTTTCTCCCCGGCATCTTGTAATTAATTTGAGAAAAAAACCTCTGGGGTTCACGCCACGTTTTCAAACAGTGCCTGTAACGTGTTTCAGATACACACCCTCATCCAGCAGACACAGCTCACATAAACAGGCCGTGTTTGTGTCCTAAATGCCAAACCTGCACCAACTGAGCTCGTTTGTTTGATGAACTGTGCAGCAGAAGCAGCATCCAGGTTATTCACTGCACTTCTGCCAAGTAATGTTATTCCTTTTCTGGGATAAACGTGATTTAGGAACTTCATTGATATTTCAAGATCCATTCATTACCATGCACAGGTGATGTGTCAGTATGACTTTAACAGAGCTGTAATTAGTTACCCTGAGTCTGCATCCTTGCAATAAATATTATATATATTTTTTTGCTTGTTGACTTCGGGGAAAGAAAACTTTTTTGCTCCTCTGTCCCTTGATTCTCACAGACCCCAGGAAATTCATAGAATCCTTTAGGTTGGAAAAGTCCTCTAAGAATATCAGTCCAACCATTCCCCCAGAGCTGGCAAGGCCACCACTAACCCATGTCCCCAAGTACCACATCCACATGGCTTTTAAATCCCTCCAGGTATGGTGGTGACTCCACCCCTGCCCTGGACAACTTGTTCCAATGCTTGACTACCCTTTCCATGAAGAAATTTTCCTGAATATCCAATCTATACATCTCCTGGAACAACTTGAGGCCTTTTGCTCTTTTCCTCTCCCATGTTCTCCATGGGAGTTCTCAGGCAACTCAGTGAAAGGAGGAGAGCTTGAAAAAAATAGTAAGAAATTCCCTCTTTCACCGACTTTCAGGTTTTTTTCTGCAGCACGATTTCAGATGAATTTTTTTGTTGTTTAGCTCAAACATTTCAACAGAGGCTGCTCCGGGCACCTGGGTTGGGTAATTTCCTTAGTGCTGCCTCTGTAAACAAACAGGAGGAACATTAAATTCTCACAAGAAAACGACCCTTGGTGATGATAAAATACTGATCTTGTCACTTGTTAAAAATATTGAAGGTGGTAAAACACAGAAACAGGTTGCCCAGAGAAGCTGTGGCTGCCCCATCCCTGGGAGTGTCCAAGGCCAGGTTGGACGGGGCTTGGAGCAACCTGGGCTAGTGGAAGGTGTCCCTGCCCATGGAAGAGGGGTGGGATGAGATGAACTTTAATCTGCCTTCCAACCCAAACCATTCTGGGATTCTGTGATCAACAGGATGTCTTCATCCAGGCCAGTGATCCCACAGCTGCACCGAGAGTTGAGCTGTAGAGAAACAGGGAAATATCCCTGGGCTGTGAGACCCAGGAGCAGGAGGTGAATGGCTGGTGCATCAATAGAACCTTCAGAATAATTTTAAAATATTAAAATATTGGAATTGTGTCAAAATAATAAGAGATACTAGGTTAAAAAAATTAGATACTGGGAAAAAAAAAGAATTATTTATCTCAGGGAATATGAAACAATGATACAGAAATCATAGTTATTCTCAGCCATGAAGTGAATGCAGCTTGTTTCAACCTCTGCCAATCAGTAGGAGCAATTTATGAAGAATACAGTAAAATTCCATTTCTCTGGTGTAGCAGCAGAAGAACCAACTACTCTCTGAGCCTGTGTTACGTGGCTGCTCCCCCCAGCAAAAACAATTTAAAGTTTTAATTTCTCAGAAATTAAATCTGGCTAGACCTGCTGAACTTTCATTTTAAAGGCAGGATATTGGAAGATTTCAGGGTATTTTAGATATTTAACCATGTCCAGCTCTCTGAATATCGTATGAGAATGCTTTTAGTCCACAGAGTGAGTTGCAAGAGGAGAGTTTGCTTGAGTACCTAAAGGGTACCTTGGTCCAGTACCTAAAGGGGCTCCAAGAGAGCTGGAGAGGGACTTTGGACAAGGGCCTGGAGTGACAGGATGAGGGGGAATGGTTTCAAAATGACAGAAGGAAGGGTTAGATGGGATATTGGGAAGCAATTCTTCCCTGGGAGGGTGGGGAGGCCCTGGCACAGGTTGCCCAGAGAAGCTGTGGCTGCCCCATCCCTGGAAGTGTCCAAGGCCAGGTTGGACAGGGCTTGGAGCAACCTGGGCTAGTGGAAGGTGTCCCTGCCCATGGCAGGGGGTGGAATGAAATGATCCTTAATGTCCCTTCCAACCCAAACCATTCGGGGATTCTCTGGGATGGGAAGAGGCTGCACCTCAGGTACCACTCCCAGGAGCAACAACCATGTGAGAGAGGAGAGAGGTCTCTCCCTGACTGGTGTGTCCTGCTGCCTTTACTGGTTAAGAAGAACCCAGCAGTGAAGCAGAACATACTGGTGTCTCCCTGGCCACAGTGCTGGTGTGTCTCCCCAGTGCCTCCCAGTCTCATCCAGGCAATGAGAGCTGGGCCTGCACAGACTCCTCTGCAGGGACTTCTCTGTCCTGAGTAAGGGAAGATGACCCCTTGAACCCCCTCAACCAGCTCACCCACCCCTCTCCTGCGATGCTCCCACAGGTCCCCCCGGCCCCCCCGAGGCCGTGACGATCGACGAGGTGACGGACACCACGGCCCAGCTGTCCTGGAGGCCGGGGGCTGACAACCACAGCCCCATCACCATGTACGTGGTGCAAGCAAGGACCCCCTTCTCTGTGGGCTGGCAGGCAGTGAGCACAGGTAAATCCATCCCCGGGCCCCTCGGAGCTCCGCTGCTGGAAAACACATCCGTCGGGATGCACGCGTGGACCCGCTCTGCTCCCTGATGTGAGAAGCAATTTCCCTGGCTGCAGAGCACTGCTCTTATTAACTAGTTTCAGGTTTGGCAACCCAAAGATTTAGGGTCCAGTCAGTGCTATTACTCATCCATTTTTCTCATGAATGTTTAAGGGAAAACAGAATGAATTCCTCTCCTTTGTTGCCGCGCTGGAGATATACAACAGTAATTGTGGTCTATAAAGACATCCCTCAGGGACAGCCCGTGTCATCTGGCCTATCTTAAAGTGGAATTATTTCCCTGATAGAGGGAAAAATCCCATGGTGTAATTGCTCATTCCGTCAGAGGTTAATTTTGTTCCAGTAACCATTAAGTAGAGGGAACAGTGTGTTTTAAAAAGAGAAAAATAAAAACGCTTTAAACCTGTTGTCTTGACACTTTGTTTTCGAACAGTGGCAACTTAGGAGAAACTCATTAATAGCAGGAATTTCTGGGCTAAAAACACGATGGTCTAATGCTACCTCTTGGACATCTTTGCAGTTAGAGAGATGACAAAAGTTTTATCAGTCCTTATTCGCTCTGTATTTACATTAAACGCTCACTTTTAAGGAAATCAGATTTCTCTGTGCCTTTTTCTCAGAGCTTTGAACATTTTAGTGGCTTTCCTTGCATTCCTGACCCACGGCTGTCTCCAGTTCCAGAGGTCATCGATGGCAGGACGTTCACAGCCACAGTGGTGGGGCTGAACCCTTGGGTGGAGTACGAATTCCGAGTGGTGGCTGCCAACCTGATCGGGATCGGGGAACCCAGCAGACCCTCAGAGAAGAGAAGAACTGAAGAAGCTCGTAAGTAGCAGTGGGCAACAGACTTAAATCTTGTGGAATAAATGCTCACCAGTGCCAAGAGACACCTCAGTTTTGGGCAACCCTTGGCAGGTGGCTGCTCTGTTCTTTTTTAGCCCCTAATGGAATCAAATACGAAATAGGAAAATAAATAAAAGCCCCTCTTTATGGAAGATAAATGTTTAAACTAAACAATTAGAGACTGAGTACACAAGTTAATTGACATACTTTTAATATACTATTATTGACATACTTTTAATGTGCTGTTTGCCATGGCAAATTAGTCACTTTAATGGCATTCCTGGTACCAGCAGGGGAAGGGCAACAGAGTCCTGTCACTGCACAGGTCTGTTCCACCTCAGTGTGCTGTTATTATTATGGTTTCAAAGTTGCCACATTTCTCCTCTGCCTCTATTTGTTTGCAGTTCCTGAAGTGACCCCAGCTAATGTCAGTGGAGGTGGAGGGAGCAAGTCCGAGCTGGTCATTACCTGGGAGGTGAGTCTCAGCCCAGAGCCCAGGGAAGCTCCTGGAGATTTCAAATGGTTTGCAGTAAAAAAAAAAAAAAAACCAAACCAGATTGTGTGATAAAAACAGCACAGCTACTAAAATGGAGCCAGAGGACTTCCCTCCCCAGGCCCCTGTGCAGGGCAGCCAGCAGGGAAGTGCTGGGCAGGGGACACAGGGACACCAACTCAGCTCCCCCTGAGCCCCAACACATCCCTACGGCAAAACACGGATGGGCAGAAACACCTGAGGGATAAAACAGGGGCATCCTGACCAGTCTGGCTGGTTCAAGCTCCATCCCTCATCCTGTATGGGATGTCAGGCAGCAAACAGTTAAGAGCCAGCACAAGGCATGCTGGCTCTCAGTGCTGCTCATGGCAGCCAGCACGAGGAGATCCAGAGATGAAAAATGTTTAATATTCCGTGAGGCACACGGGGTTAGAACTTTAGTCATTTGTCTGCTCATATTTCCCTGTTGTGATGCGATGCAGCTGGCATATTTTTCCTAATAATGAACTTCACCAGCCATGCTAACACTTCCATTTAGCACTATTTCTGACCAAGCTGGCAGAATGAATCGCCAGAGATATTTTTAAGGTTATTAAAAACCTATAAATGGGTTTTTGTCCTCGCCACACGGCTCAATGTGCTAAATTTCCTCCTCTGTTGGACTAATTAGCTACGCCGTGTCTCCTAAAGATGCTGCAATATGTTTCAAAAACACACATGGCAAGAACAGCAGACATTGGTTTGAGTAGTAATTTGCACGAAATATAATTTGTGTTTTGATAGAACAGTCGTTTCACTGGTTTAAATGTCCAGAGGCCTTTCCTTTGTGGGCTGGTGTGGCCTCACAACACAGAGGAAGGAGGACTGAGCAGCACTAACCCCTGCAGTGGCTTTAGCACCACGTGTGTGGGAGAAAGGCCCATAATTAGGGATTATTTGAATACTTTTGGTTTAATGCAGCTTTTTAAGGGGCTGACAGCCTGAGAGTAGGGAGTGTCAGTGTGTCCAGGATATTCTCCAGGCCTTCACATGCGATTCCAAAGGCACGAGAGCAGCTGCACGTGGGAAAGCAGGAACCGTGTCCTTGGTTCACCCCATCAAACCTCAGACTCTTAGTCATGGCAGTGCCTGAAATTAGATCAATAATGGAGGCTCCATCTAGTCAGTAGAGGAAGGTGAATTAGGTCTTAGGAGAAGTGTCTTCTGGAGGTGCTGCATTCCTCTGAGAAGGAGCAGAAAGGCAGGATGGGATAATTCAGGACTCCGTCCGCCTCCCATCTCCAGTGCTCTCTTCAGAACAGCAGCTTTTTCAGCACTGAGAGGCAACACCCAGTGTGCAGAGGGGCAGATAAATGTGTGCCATTGCTGAAGGGTTCCCTGCAGCCATTGCTGTGTTTCTCCTGCCCACAGACGGTGCCCGAGGAGCTGCAGAACGGGGGTGGCTTTGGCTACGTGGTGGCGTTCCGGCCCTTCGGCACCGTCAGCTGGATGCAGACGGTCGTGGCCTCCCCGGATGCCTCCAGATACGTGTTCAGGAACGAGACCCTGCCGCCCTTCTCGCCCTACGAGGTCAAGGTCGGGGTGTACAACAACAAGGGCGAAGGGTCCTTCAGCCCCGTCACCGTTGTCTACTCCGCAGAGGAAGGTAGAGCCAGGAGCCCTCCCCGCCCTCCTCCCCCCCTCCCCTGGGTCTGGAAGGGTTTAGTTTCCACCTTGGCATATCCTTTGATACCTGAGCCCCTGCTCTGGTTTCTAATAAATGGCGAGCCGTGATGGATTCTTTTCGTAGTCATTAAAATAACATTAATCGTAATGAAATCTTTTGATATTAATGGAAAAGTAATATGTAATCTGGAAAGAATTCCGCTGAGATTTAGCATGAATTAATGGCCACTGATTAGAAAATGTTCCCACTTGTCCTAATTGCAGTACATGGTATCCTGGGCTGAGTTTAGCAATGACATATTATTTCTTAGGTGGAGGAGCCAGTGCTGCCCAGCACAGCCTGGCAGGCCCTGGGTTTGAAATGTGCACATTTGTTTGCTCCCTGTGCAATGAAGAAAATAAATCCCTTGACATTCAGGACTAATTGAACATAAAATTGAAAAGTCTTCCTTTTTATTTTTAACTACACAGAGCCAACGAGAGCCCCGACCACTGTTTTGGCCAGAAGTCTTTCCGCCTCAGACGTTGAAGTTTCGTGGGCTCCCCCTTGGGAGAACCAGCACAAAGGAAGGATACAGGGATATGAGGTATGGAGACAAGAGTGCAGGATCCTTTCAGTCATAAGCCTTGAGGAGATGTGGAGACATATCCTGGGTGCTGCTCCTCCTGCCCTGGGGCCGGCGTGTTCCTGGGGTGGTTGTGCTTCCCTTTGCCTCCTCAGTGAGCAGAGGATTCTCTCACATGGTTAGAAATGACACATCTGTCCGTGTGTGATCTGGCTGGAAGTGGAGAGCAGAGCTTGCAGGGGGGACCCGTGTGAAGGTGTCCCATGGCCAGGCAGTGCCCGAGTTCTGGGGAGGGAGCGCTGCAGCCAGGATGGTTCCTAGCAGGGAACAGGGAGGGATGGGGCAGGATGCAGGATCTGTCCCATGGGCACAGTCAGTGCTGGAGGTGGGCACGTCCCTGCTCTGTTCCCAGGTCAGGTGCTGGCGACACGACGAGAAGGAAGAAAACGCCAAAAGGATTCGGACGGTTGGCAACCAAACCTCTACCAGGGTCAGCAACCTGAGGGGCAATGCCCTGTACCACCTGGCAGTCAGGGCCTACAACACGGCTGGCACCGGCCCCTCCAGCGCCCCCGTCAACGTCACCACCAAAAAGCCACGTGAGTGTTGGGAGGGCGGGGGGCTCTGGCCTGGGGGGCTCTGTCAGGGCTCCCCTCTCTCATTTTCGAACCCTCTCGAGCCTGCCAGAGCTGTCAGACTTCTCTTTGCCAGGTTTTTGTGCATGAGCCTTCCCAGGCTCGGCCTTTTCACTCAATTTTGTTTTGGAAGGCTCCTCTCCCCGGTGTTAAGTAAGCAGAGCATGCAAAACCCAAATCACAGCTGTGCAGGCAAATTAAATATTTATCTCATCGTTCAAGAGGGCTTTTTTCTTCTGGGCTCAGGCATGTTGAACAACTGGCTGAATCCTTTTTTCATTGAGAGCACTGTGTCGTGTCACATCTCCCGTGACCTGGAGGACACAGATCAGTGAAAGAGCTCATTGGCTTTCCAGAGGGAAGGACTCCAGGCAGGCTCAGCTCTGCTGGTGGAAGCCTCATTGGTGCTGGGAGGGATCCAACTGGGAAACTGTGCTCCTTAGTGATAGCATGCCCTGTGTATTTTGGTGTAGCACCGAGTCAGCCCCCCGGGAACATCATGTGGAATTCATCCGACTCCAAGATCATCCTGAACTGGGACCAGGTCAAAGCACTGGACAACGAGTCAGAAGTGAGAGGCTACAAAGTGAGTATTTCCACAAGCCCAGTGTCAAGCTGGGGTTTATAGTGAGACCAGACAAGATGTTTTTCGTGGTTTTCCAGGTTAAAAACTGGGGCACTCCCCCAAAAACAGAGGCCATGCCTATGTAACATGAGCGCATTTTTCCCACTGCTCCCCTCGCCCCTGTGAGGGGGTCTCAGCCCATGGACCTTCACCTGCTCCTCCCTCTGGAGCTTCCACCTCCAGAACCACTCTCCTGCCACTGGTGAAAGCCTTCCACAGGCTGTAGTTTGCTCCTTAATTGCAGATAAATAAAATGCTCTTTTAATAGCTCCCATTTCCTTCAGAAAGCAAAGCCAAAAGGAGAAGGAGGAGAATCCTCATTAGTAGCAGTTTTAATAGGATGTAATTGAACTAGAGAGAAATCTTGGGAAGAGTTCAGCTCCATCACCTTACACAAGGGCTTCATTTGGCCCAGAGAAGATGTCAGTGTTTGATTTCCAGACGTTGCCTTGGGGGTTGAGTTGTGCAAACATTTCCCACCAGAGCCTGAGACAGTGAAGGACCTGGCCATGCTTTGTGTTTTGTTCCCAGTCTGGAATGCCAGCGGCATCAGCTTGAGGAGCCTGTGCCAGCTCTCCTGAATTTCTGCACTAACTTTTAAGTATCTTTGCTGCACTGCATGGGCTTATCAAAAAGAAGTAACTCCTCAGGGCTTTTAGTCCAAACCTCAGATGAACCTTGGCAATCTGGACCAACTTTTCACTACATATTTTAGGTTTGAAATGCAAATTAAGAAGTCCTTTGAAAGAGGGAGAGAGAAACTTGTCACCCCAAAAAAGCAAACTGCATCTAGTGGGTTCCTACAACGTCCTCTTTCAACTCCCTGTTAGGACAGGAGAGCCAGATGGGTTTCTTCCTGACTCATAGCAAAACATTGCCTGTTTTTCTTGGTTTTTCCTAGAAATCTTATATTTTATGTCGCAATTTATGATGTAAATTAATAGAACTCCCAGATCTCAGAAGGTCATTCGCAAAAGTCATTTATTCTGGGAAGCTGTTGGTGGCACTGCATGAAATGTTCCAACTCGGTTTCCTGAAGAAATGTAATAAGTTTCTGACTTGTGTAAATAAGTGTTTACTTATAGAGGGGTTTATTTTAGCTTGGTGAAGGTACAGGTGTCACCTTGCTGGGTCCCCAGCAAATCTCACATGTCCCCTCTGTGACCAGACCGTGTCTGAGCGTCGGGGGCAGGAAAAGAGCAGCGGCGACTCTGGATGTGCTCAGGCTCTGCCCTCTGCCCCCTGTTGTCTCTCCCTTCCCTGCAGGTGTTGTACAGGTGGAACAGGCAGAGCAGCACATCTGTGATAGAAACCAACAAAACCTCCGTGGAGCTGTCCCTGCCCCTGGACGAGGATTATATCATCGAGATCCGGCCCGTCAGCGACGGCGGCGACGGCAGCAGCAGCGAACAGATCCGAATCCCAAAGATATCGAGTAAGGACGGGAGGAGTTGGGGTCCATTCCATGGGGAGCCAGAGTCCTGCAGGGACCACGGCTGTGTATCCCAGCAGGGCAGGCTGTACTTCCATCCCTTTCCCAGGCAGGCAGCTGAAACCCAGAAAGCCAAGGACCAGCGTTCCAGCCCCTGGTTCTGATTTCATCCCAAACCCAAGATTAAACCATAAGAAATGCCGTCCTAAGTAGTTATATTTGTATTTAAGATCTCTAGACACTTTCCACTCTCTCCCTTCCATACTCATATATAGGTTGAATATATTGTTTCACTGCAATTTGCTGTAACCAAATACAAAATGCAGTGTTGGAGGCTTTTAAATTTATAAGGCTACTGTATAGCCATATCCCATTGTGTGTTGGAGGCATAAATATTTATTTAGGGAAATGAGGTTGTATAGAAGAACAAACAGAAAGAGTATTTTATTACACAACATGGCTTTTGCAAAATCTCCATGTCCCATCTTCCATTAATAATGGCCCAGTTTATAAGCTGCATTAAATCAGGAGCCTCTGCAATGCAGGAATATGGCATTAAAATTACAGCAATGTGAAAAACCCTGGGTGAGAGCAGAATTCTCTCCACTGTGGCTGTATAAACCATGCAGAGGAATTTAATCAGCAGGCACAGGAGAGGGAAGGAGAGCTGGAACACCTGCCAGCTCTGATTTGGCTCAAGGCTGTGGGTCACTGAGCAGGTA